GAGCCCCTGCGGCAAACTGGGCGCCAGCGTTTGCAAAGATGGCAAAATACGCGTCTACAATCCACGCCAATCTGAGACGCCCGTACGCGAGGGCAACGGGCCCGTGGGCACGCGTGGTGCACGCATCACCTGGGCGCTCGAGGGTCACTACATTGTCTGCACCGGATTCGACAAGTCGGTTCACCTTATTTCCTATCCTATGTATATACATATATAACTGACACACACACATTGAACCATTGCAGAGTCTCGGAACGTCAGATTAGCGTGTACAATGCACAAAAATTGACTGCGCCGTTGAATACGGCCAGCTTGGATGTGTCGCCATCGATACTAATTCCATATTATGATGAGGATAGCTCCACATTGTTTGTCACCGGCAAGGGCGATTCCACCATCTATTGCTATGAGATAACCGATGAGGAGCCGTATATATGCCCGCTGTCGCATCATCGCTGCTCCTCGCTGCATCAGGGTCTCAGTTTTCTCACCAAGAACCACTGCGATGTGGCCAGCGTTGAGTTCTCCAAGGCATACAGGCTGACAAACACAACCATCGAGCCGCTCAGCTTTACAGTGCCGCGCATCAAGGTACCCACCCATCTTGGCAACTAGCTCTCTCATAAGGCACTTGCCGCATGCCATTTATTTGCCCACACAAACAATTGGAAATCTATGTCCATTCCATTCCATTGCTTACTTCAACTACAAATAGACGTTGGTACATATGTTTAACACTTACTTTGATTTGCAGAGCGAACTGTTCCAGGATGATTTGTTCCCACCCACGCGCATTACATGGAGCGCCACGCTGTCTGCTGAGGATTGGTTTGCCTGCAACGACAAGATCGCTGCCAAAGTTAGCCTTAAGCCGGAGGGCATGGACACGCGTAAGATACTGCCATCTCTTGCTTCCTCTCTCTCTCTCTCTCTCTCTCTCTTTTGTGCAGTTGTCTCATTCTCGTTTTTAAATTATCATTTTTAGTATCCTCCAAACAACAAGTTCCGGCGCTAGCTAAAAAACCGGATCATTCGAATTTTGGCAGCAAGTCCGAATATGAAAGCAACAAGCAGCAGGAGGTAAGTCTCTCAATTATCTTCAAACTTTGTCTCTTGCTCACATTTCGTTTGCCATGCAGATCCAAAAATCGGTTAGCGCGCGCATGGAGTACACAACCAAGTTGGAGCAGGATGAAATGGAGGGTGTCGATGAGAACGAATGGCAGGAGTAGCGCCAACCATCATCGCATACACATATATTATTAAATATACACTCATAGATAAGTTCAACTCGTATATGCATAGTCGATGCATAAATATTATACATTAAACACAAACACACACAGACAGACAGACACTGACAAACACACGACCCGGCAAGGATGACGGTTAGGATATTCGTGAGCTTTGCTCCTTTTCCCCTTTTTACGCCATACATGTAATCCCCGCGCGCACGCAGGCTGCCTTTGAAAACTTGGGCTAAGGCCATGTAAATAGCAAACGCGGTGTTAACTGCTCGGTGCTGTTAGAAATTAGACAGAGAGAGAGAGAGAGAGAGAGACAAAGAGAGAGAGAGAGAGATATATACTTATTGTATGCACTGCTAACTGGTTGTGTGCCAATATACCCGCAGTTACCCTGTACCCGAATATATATACCCAACTGCAGTTGCTCAATAATTGCCAAATTACAAATGTTAAGGCAGATTCGTTTAATTTTGCTCGTTTTTTGTATTTTTATTGTATTTATCTTTGTGTTTGTTTTCTTTTTATATATATATATATATGCTTATATATGAATATATCTTTTTTTTTTGTGTTCATTTAAGTAGTTAGTCCAAATTAGTTAAGCGTATTTTACATAAACATTTTTTATGTATAATTTTTACACATTATATGATTTTCGCATAAGTTTGTGGCCATATATGCTGTTGATAATGTTGATAAAGAGGAGGATGGACGATGGACCGAAAGTTAGTTAACAAGTTTGATTATATAGTACACAAATGCTGTGTGTACATGTATATGTTTTTTAGAGCTTTACAATGTAGTTTTTACCTCTCAGTCTATTTCATGTGTGCTCTCTATATACAACTATTTTTGTTAGTAAATTGCGATGCGACATATCTCTCTCGCCTTGGGGAGCAGCTCAGCCGGGCCCATATATACACACACACACACACACACACTAACAAACTCTCTGCATTATGTATTTGATAGCATATATATATATATAAAAGACGTCTTTTTTTTTGTAACAAACAATCGCTTTTTGTCACACGCTTTCGATTATGTTTTAAACTTTTCTAGTCTTTGTCTTTAGAAAAACGCATTCGCTATTAAAAATTCGTTGCTTCCCTTTTGCGATACAAAATCGTGCGCATTGACATGATATAGACATATAACCCAAACCGTATTCAACAGTTACAACAACAACAACAACTACAGAACATATAGACTGTACTGAACACTAAAACGTTTTATGCGTAAGCCAATCAAGCGAGTATTTTGTTAACATAACTTAACTAAAACCAAACCGTAAAGCTAAGCGTAAAATGAAACTAAAATAAATCAAATCAAATATGTAGCGCCAGAATCAAATCAAAATCTTACACAAAAACAGAAAATGTATTGATAAAAGACATGAAAAAAGAAACAAACTGAAAACAATTCCAAAACTGTTTAACGAAAAGACTTGCGATAAAGCGCATCGTTGCCATTAAAGACAAATTTGTTGTGTATTTTGCAAAACAATAGAAATCGGAGCTAAGTGCTCCATTAAGACTATATGCATATATTTATATATCGTATATACACATATATACATATAGATTGTATTGGCATCTTACTATATAGTACCATATAATTAAAGTATATATATTTTGTATACAATAGCAGCAACAATGACAGCAACAGAAATTCAACATTTTGCGACTGATTAACAACAATTTAATGACCAAACCCAAACTTATACGCCTAGAGCTATATATGTATATATATATATACTCTATTCATATAGGATATATATACAATATAAGTCACAACGGCAACAACAACAACAACAACAACAATATTCAAATTAATTAACGTTGCATTTAGTCACAAGAATTATGCATGCAACCGATTTATAAACTATTCCCACACTTTCAACATTCGCGACTTTTCCATTTCTAACACACATTTTCATACTGTTCATATCTAGTACTTATATATATATATATATATATATATATATATATATATATATACAAAGCCTATCCAAATGATGGCATATTCTGATCTGACAACAAAAACCGAAAACTGAAAAAGTATTGAGAAGAATTTTTGATTGAAATTTCCAATTAACTAACATTCGACTTGAGTTGGTTGGTTTATCGTATTTACGGTAAATATATCTAAATTTTGCAACTAATTTTTATGCCATTTGCATTGTTGATGCAGCCCACTGTGCACAGTGTGGCAGGCGCAGGGGCAGTGCGGTTGTTTTTTTTTTAATTTTGTAATTTTTTGTTTGTTTTTGTCTTGTTTATCAATACAACAACAATAATGAAATTCAGTCTCGATATTATGATAAATATATTTGCATATATATATATATTGTATTTTACAAAGATATTTGCTGATTAAGAATATATATATATATACATATATGATAGATATGACACATAGAACACACACAACACATAACATATTTACAAATATACATGCATATATATATAAATATATGTGTATTTATATGTATTTCTTTTTGAATCTTATTTATATTTATATATATTTATATACAAGGCATATATATGTATACATAAATGTATATGTAATTAAAGCAAAAATTAAATAAAGATTTTGTAAACGCGATCTTCACAAAATTCGTTGCAAATAATTTAAAAGTACGTTTAGAAATCGAACCGAAAGCAAAGAAAAAGAAAAACACAAGCGAAAAGCAGAAAGAAAGAAAAAAAAACAAAATAAATAAAATCAAACAAGGCATACATACATTATACAATTTATTTTACAGTATATCCGATATCAATACTCTAGCCCTAAGTGACAAAAACAAAAATTAAAACAAAAACAAATATATTTATATACATAATTAAATAAAAAAACAGAAAATGCAATACAAAAGCAACCGTATTTATTATTTACCAGCCATCAAATATCCAGGGTATATGGCCTAGATTGACTCATTTATGCCCTGTACGCAATAGTAAACGTGTTCAAAGGGTATCCTCGCTTGCTGCAAACGAAGGAAGTATCTATGTTCGATATCTCTAATCAGTTGCATAATATCGATAAATATCGATTTGAGACATGGCTCTTAAAGCCTAGCTTCGTACGAGCTTATCAATTTCACCTTATCAAATTTTTATAAAATCGATAACCATAACTGGACACGAGCTAATAATTGTTGACGATATGTTATCCAATTTTCATGATATCGATAAATATCGATGTTGAGGCATAGCACTCAAAGCATAGCTTGGAACAAGCTGATCACCTTTTCGATAAGTTATCCAATTTTCATTAAATCGATTATCGATTACCATAACTGAAAGCGAGCTAATTGATATCGATAAATATCGATTTTGAGAAAATATTTGTAGGCACAACTTGAAGATTAGAAGAGCTAGATAGACCCAAATTGGTATATAGGCTCTCGCATAGTATATACATACATATAAAGAATATTTATTTTTTTGGATACCTAACTTTCATAAAGATCGGACCATAAGCACCGAGGTGAAAGCAAGAGAGTATTTTCCCATGCATAGTGTGTGGGACAAATGGTAGAATGTGGAGAGTTGAGGGTATCTCCTAGTCGGCTTCTTCCGTTTAGAATTGTGTCACAAGTTTTAGGCAGAGTTGGGGGTGTTGCCCGGACAACAGAGGCACTGAGATTGATTGGAATCGTCATCGAACAAACAAACTTGCACAGTGCCTGGCAGAAGGGATCCAGTGGACGACAAGTCCAGTGGACTGGTTAGTTGGTTAGCTGGCGGTATGAAGTTTCTGCTGAAGAAATGTTTGCGCAAGAAGGCGCCCGAAATGAAGCCAGGCGCCATACTGGACGCGGTCATCTCGCAGTCGTCGGCAACGGCGTGCAGGTGTCTGCTCTACAAGCTGGCCGACTACAAGCGCGGTAAGTGGCCAACGGCACAGCCAATCCTTGACAGGATCGCAGCTAAGACGAGGATGTGACCCGTTTCAGGTGGGGATCTGATCGATGCGATCAATACGGGCGGACTGATTGCCGTCGAGCAGCTGATCCGGGAGCAGTTCGGCGTGTTCATGTATAACGATGGCAAGGGCCAGATGATCAATCGGGCCGAGTTCCTGCGCTGGAAATATCGCGATCACACCGAGGTGACCATACCGATTGAGGCATCGCTCTCCATACACGATCCGCTTGGCAAGTGGGAGGATCACAAGGCCTGCTGGCAGATGCAGTACCGCGGCGCACTCGGCGAGAGTCTGCTCCATGTGCTGATCATCTGCGACTCGAAGATACACACCAAACTGGCGCGCGTACTGCTGCGCGTCTATCCCAATCTGGCGCTGGACGTGATGGAGGGCGAGGAGTATCTGGGCGCCAGTGCGCTCCATTTGTCCATTGCGTACAGCAACAATGAGCTGGTCGCCGATCTGATCGAGGCGGGCGCCGATATCAATCAGCGCGCGATCGGCAGCTTCTTTCTGCCGCGCGATCAGCAGCGCTCGAATCCGGCCAAGAGCACGGACTACGAGGGCCTCGCCTACATGGGCGAGTATCCGCTGGCCTGGGCCGCCTGCTGTGCCAACGAGAGCGTCTACAATCTGCTCGTCGATTGCGGCGCCGATCCGGATGCCCAGGACTCCTTTGGCAACATGATACTGCACATGGTGGTCGTGTGCGACAAGCTGGACATGTTCGGCTATGCGCTGCGGCATCCCAAGACGCCGGCCAAGAATGGCATTGCCAACCAGACGGGTCTCACCCCGCTCACCCTCGCCTGTAAGCTGGGCCGTGCCGAGGTCTTTCGCGAAATGCTGGAGCTGTCCGCCCGCGAGTTCTGGCGCTACAGCAACATCACCTGCTCCGGCTATCCGCTCAACGCGCTGGACACCCTGCTGCCCGACGGACGCACCAGTAAGTACCTGACCCAATCATATATAAAGCGGATTACGGATTCCCAGCTCCCTTAGCTGCTATGCAATATAGTAGTCCGATTCATCTTGTAGAGCTATACGCTATCGTATTCTCCTATTGATCAAATCTTGCTGAGGAATAGGTTGCCAAGCAAACGGCAAGATATTTTGAAAGTAATCAAGTTTTTCATCCAAGAACTTAAATTCCCATGTGATAGAATCCTCCGATCCGCTTCGCTTCAAGACGGAGAACAGCTTTGAGACTTCAGTTTGCATGGAATAAATTTTGGGAAATTCTTCTAATGCATCTTGCATTGCAGACTGGAACTCGGCGCTGTTCATAATTTTGAATGGCACCAAGCCGGAGCATCTGGACATGTTGGATGGCGGCATTATACAGCGCCTGCTCGAGGAGAAATGGAAGACCTTTGCACAGAATCAATTCCTGAAGCGTCTGCTCATCTTATCCACGCACCTGCTGTGCCTCTCCGTATCCGTTTACCTGCGACCCGCACACGATGGCGACGAGCTGGACGATGGCGACACTGGCGATGCGTCCGCGACAGCGGCCCAGCTGACCGAACTGGATGGGCATGGGAATGGTAAGGAGCAGGGCGAGGACTACAATGCCCAAACTGTGGCGCGCTACTGCGCCGAGCTGGCGACCATAGCGGGCGTCCTGAGCTATGTGGTCTTTCAGCAGGGTGACGAGATCAAGAACCAGGGCTTATCCGCATTCCTCAAGCAGCTGGTAGGTTCTGGTGAAACATGTTCGACTATTTCCATTGATTGTATATTGATTTGATAGTCACATGCGCCGGCCAAGGCAATTTTCTTGTTCTCCAATCTACTCATCCTGGCGTGCATACCATTTCGTCTGATTGGCGACACGGACACCGAGGAGGCCATCCTGATCTTTGCTGTGCCCGGCAGCTGGTTTCTGCTTATGTTCTTTGCCGGGTAGACATCTCCATCAATCAAACCCAACGGGATGCATTCATGTTCCTACCATTTGCAGTGCCATACGTCTGACGGGTCCCTTTGTAACCATGATATACTCGATGATAACCGGCGACATGTTCACCTTTGGCATCATTTACTCCATTGTGCTGTGCGGCTTCTCGCAGGCATTTTATTTCCTCTACAAGGGACATCCGCAGGTGCAGACGACCATGTTTAATACCTATACCAGCACCTGGATGGCCCTCTTCCAGACCACGCTGGGCGACTACAATGTGAGTATTACTTGACCTGGGCTTGGCATCGCTCCTAACCTCAAACTTTAACTCAACTAACCTCAAGCCAGAATATAAGAACATAACTTTGAGCACTTGACTCAGCCTGAAGGCAGACAAAAAAACTTAAATAATGAGAGCTCGGCCTAACCTGAGCTTAAAAACCTTAAAAATATAACCTTACTTTTTGAAACTTTACCTAATCTAACCTCAAACATCAGAAAATGGGACTGTACCCAAACTAACCTCAAAAAAGAACTAAAATGTTAAACACACTAATGGGAGATATCTCTTAACATCTTTTTTTATCATCTTTTGAGTAAGAAGCACATCTTAATTTTCCAAACAGTATCCCGATCTGAACCAGACAACGTATCCGAATCTATCGAAAACCGTATTTGTCATATTCATGATATTCGTGCCGATCTTGCTGCTCAACATGTTGATTGCCATGATGGGTAATACCTATGTGACCGTCATCGAGCAGTCCGAGAAGGAGTGGATGAAGCAATGGGCCAAGATTGTTGTGACATTGGAGCGAGCCGTGCCGCAGGCGGATGCCAAGGGCTATCTGGAGGCATACTCCATACCGCTGGGTCCTGCCGACGATACGGGCTTCGAGGTGCGCGGCGTAATGGTCATCAAGAGCAAGAGCAAGACGCGCGCCAAGCAGCGCAAGGGTGCCGTCTCCAACTGGAAGGTGAGCTCCTAGCCAGAACCAGATCCTGTTTAGCCTCACTCATTCAATCTCGCATGTTTCTTTTCCGACTGCAGCGTGTGGGACGTGTCACATTGACGGCACTCAAGAAGCGCGGCATGACTGGGGAGGAGATGCGTCGCCTAATGTGGGGACGCGCCTCCATATCGAGTCCCGTCAAGGTAACCAAGCAGAAGCTCAAGGACCCATACAATCTGCACACGGAATCTGATTTCACCAATGCCATGGATATGCTCACCTTTGCCAGCAATCCGGCCGCCAGCAATGGTGTGACCCTGCGCACAACAGCAACACCAACAATTGTGGCTGCAGCCGTGCCGGATCCGTTTCGTGAGCTGATTCTGATGTCCGATCAGCGTCCGGACACGCACGATCCGCACTACTTTGCCGGGCTGCAACAGCTGGCCAATAAAGCGTTCGATCTTGTCGAGCAGACGCTTAAGACGCAGCCGCAGCTGGCCAAAAAGTTGCCTGTGCCGGAAGTTGGAGCAACTGCACCTGCAGCACCTGTAGCTGCAGCTGGTGTCGCAACAGCTCAGCCGGCAAAGCCAGCAACGCCCGCTTTGCCTGTGCCCATGGCCAGCAATCTGACCAATTTGTTTCAAGATCCCAAGGATATCGTGGACCCCAAGAAACTGGAGGAGTTCATGAACATGCTCGCCGAGGTGGAGACGGAGGAGAGCGACAGCGGTGGTCCCATCCTGGGCAAACTGTCGCTGGCCAAGCGCACGCACAACGCACTCTCCAAGGCGGACATCAAGCGGTCGCCCAACTACGATGGCCAGTCCAACATGTCATCGGTCTGGGGCCAGCAATTGCCGGATCTAAACACGCTGGCGGTAGGTTATACACATAAAGCAGGAGCTGCTCACATCGAGCCATTGCAGGGCTTCAATTTCGAAGAGACGGTGGCCGAGGAGGTGCTGACCATTGAACAGGAAGCGGATGTTGAGACCGAGGACGGCAATGGCGGCGCGGATAGCGAAGATTTGCCCACAGCCGAACAGGTGCATGCCACAATGAAGCAGTTCCATCTACGCAAATGCCAGCCAGCCCAGGATGAGGCAGCGCATCGCGCCAAAAGCGCACGGATTCGACGCCGAAACAAGTGAGTGCCGCATTGGGGGATTCTCCAGGAGAATTCCACGGGAATCATATGCAAGTAAAGCAATGTTGGGCAATTAATATATATTCCTTGATCCTTGATTGAAATCTTCAATAGTTCCCGTTAAACTTGAAATTTTAAACACCTTGCCAACACGGTTTTTGGGGGTTTCCCTTGAAACTAAGATTCTCATCCTTTCCAGAATAGGTTCTTCTTCTTCTAGTTCTTCTATTTAAATATACTTTTGAATATTGCATTTTTAGCAAATTATTGAATATAATTGGTTTATCATAACTTAAGCTTAATAAATATTAATGCTCCTACCTTATTTATGCCTGGCCCACACTGTGCAGAGTCTCGCCCGAGGAGAGCGACGCGGAACTGGAAAGCAAACGCAAGCAGGCGTCGCGCAGGCGTTCCGCACATGGCCGCAAAACGGAGTCGCCGCCCGATCCGCTGGAGCCGTGGAGCACGCGCGAACTGCAGGACATAAACAAGATTTTAGCTAACAAGAAATGAGCAACATTAATTTGATTATACATTTTTTTTTTTTTTTTTTGATTTTTTGTTTGTTTTGTTTTTTCTTTGTTGTTTTCTTTTTGTATTTCGTTGAATTGCTTAACTTAATTACAAACAGAAAAGAAGACGAAGAATATTCCTCCATTCAAGGAAATCAGAGAGCCGTAAAGACAGAGAGATGAGCTTGGTTGGCTAACGCCTGGATAACTCCTTCAATTGAGTTATCATGCAATTTGACTTCATTAAATACTAATATTTAACTATACAAGTACAATATATATATATTTATAAAATGTATTATTTGGGAGGGGGTGGATTTTCTCTTGTTACGTATTGTTAAAATAGAATTGTGAAACCTGCAGCTCAGCGTGTTTGGATCAGGTGCAAAGCCAGGAAATGCCAATTGAGCCGATGTCATTTAAATGTTTAGAGCTGTTGCTTTTTTTTAAAGGTATATACACACATACAAACACACACACACACACACACGCACACAGAGACAGACACCTGTACAAAAGGGTGTGAAACTTAAGAATTTAGTTGGCAACTTGAAATTGTAGATAGATACTTTCGTGTGCGAGTCGTTGGGCAAACCAATTAAGTTCAATTCGTTATGATATGTACATTAGGCAGGACACATTCGAATTATATAAAGAGTTTCCCTGCTAGGCCGCCTGCTTGGGCTGGATTGGGTTTCACCTTGCTGCTGAACACTAAATACATTACAGAATAAAAATGTATCTTCTATTTATACAATTGCTTAACTAATTGGTACTTAGGAGCTAGCTAATTAAACACTCTCTCCGCTGCATCTAATATACAAGTATATAGGTTAGTACGAAACTGAATGGCAGGACACGGGCGCAATCAATATGCCAATGCCAAATGCTGTTACCAATTGCCTCCTGATGCTTCGATATGATTGCTAATTGGCCAAAATGTTTGGACTTCAATTCAATGCTAAACATGTTTAACTTAGCTTACATTTTAACTTATCCTTAACAATTAGGTGGCTGCTGGTGTCGTGTGCTCTCCAGTGTTGGGTGTATTTTGTTTTGGGCTTTTGCTTTTTTAACTTAAGCTAATTTTCGCTTTATTGCGTTTTACCGAAAGCCGCTATTGAGCGTACGATCTGTGGTTAATGTTGTTATGCCCTGTGTTTGCGCTTGCGTCGCTACTTGGGCGTTCGACGCCGTCGCATTTATGAATATAGACGCTGCGTTGTTGTTATTATTGTTGCTGCTGCTGTTGCTGCTGTTGTTATTGTTGTTGTTTGGATTGTTGCTGCTTATGTGTATATGCTGCTGCTGCTGCTGTTGCTGCTGCTGTTGATGGTGTTGTTGCTGCTGCTGCTGCTGTTGTTGCTGCTGCTGCTGTTGCTGTTGATGTTGCTGCAGCTGCTGCTGTGTCACAGTTGTTGCATTTGTGGGCGTGCCGCCCAGCTGCAGTATCTGCTGCGCCGTTAGCAATTGCGTGGGTATTATCACCTGCTGTTGTTGATTGTGCTGCACTGCCGCCGCCGCTGCAGCCTGCACAGCAGCAACCTGCTGTTGTTGCTGCTGCTGTTGCTGTTGTTGCATCTGCAGACGCAGCAAGTGCAGCTGATTGGCATTGATGGCAATCTGTTGATTTAACAAATAAAACATTTAGCAACGAATATCAAATTGCATTAAAATGGCCCACTTACCGGCACATTGGTCAGCTCGCCCGTTGGCGTCACCACCTGCTGCAGCAGTTGTATTTGCTGTTGCTGCTGTTGTTGCTGCTGGTGTTGTTGTTGCTGTTGGGCCAGGTTTTGGAGCAGCGCCGTTTGCTGCTGGGCAGCTGTTGTGGGCGCCGGCGTCGCTGTCAACTGGCCATTGGGCCCGGCGGTGAGTATTAGCTGCTGCGTCGGCTGCTGTGCAACAATATTTAGACCGAGACTGTTCTGCTGCTGCTGCTGTTGCTGCTGTTGATGGAGCTGCTGCACCAGTTGTGTGGGCTGCTGCCCAGGCAGCGCAATGAAGTACTGCAGCTGCTGTGCACCGGCGCCCTGCTGTATGATCTGCACTTGCTGTGGCTGATGCTGTTGGGTTGTCAGCTGCTGCAGTTGCTGATTGCTGCTGGCGGCTGCCGCCGCAAACAGATCCGGATTGACTGTGCTGAAGCCGAGCACTTCGGCCGCAGTGGCGTCCAGCTTGAGGCCAGACGCGGCGGCAGCAGTAGCCACAGGTACATTGGCGCCACTCACAACATTGCCGGTTGTGAAGCTAGCGTTGGGATTGTTATTGCTGGCAACAGCAGTTGCTGCCGCAGCAGCGGCAGCAGCAGCCACAGCAGCTGCCGCTGATACATTCGAGCTGGTTGGCTCTTTGGTTTTCTGCGTGGTTGAGGGTTTGATCTCCTCGCGCGGCACAATGTCGATAAGGAAATCAAATTGATCATAATTGGCAATCGCCTGCGCAATATCCGATCGCTGCAGCGTACGTCGACGACTCTCCTCGGTGTGCACCCAGGCGCGCATTGTTAGCTCCTGGATGAAATACTCACAGGCCTTGGCAAACAGCAGCGGCGCTTCGCCTGCTATCATTTTGGCATTCTCATCCAGTTTCATGATCTTCTTGATGCGCGCCAGCGGCAGCACCTGATGCTTGGCATCCACCTGACCAATGCCGTTCACCTCGCTCAATATGTTCGGCCAAAAGTTTTCAATCGTTGGTGGCGGCTTGCGTACCGCTTGAACGCGCGACGCTTTCGTCGGTTTCTCCTTTGGCGCCGTCGTCGTCATTGTGGTGGATGTTACGCTCATGCCCGTCGTATATGCCGCATTCCCACCGCCGCCGCCGCCGCCGCTGTTCGTTACGGACAAGCCCGTTTGCATGGGCACTGTCAGCTGCTGTGACGTGACAATGACGGCGTTTGGCCGCCGCAGGGCCGGCGTTGTGGCCGTGGAGCCAGACTTGGCCAGAGCGTCACCTAGCTCCATTTTGATCGGCGTCACAGTAATGGTATTATCAAACATCGATGTGGCATTGCTAAAAGATAAAAGTCAAACAACACAAACACAAAACACACATTAAATTGTACACACTGTACACCGATTCGAGCTCTGCGAGAGAGACTCACCTATTTGGCGCCTTATTTGTGCTGCCATTATTGGTGGCGTACATGGCCACGTTAGCTGAGGTGTGGCGTGTTGGCCGGCTGCAATTGGTAAGGGTTTGAGCACAGGCGCTGCTACGGCAATTGGTTTAAAATTGACTTAAAACGTATTGCTGGTAAATTTCGCAAATGCGTAATGCATACACAATGCGCTAGGGATGGCAACTAGTGCTGCAAAACAATCGATAAGGTCACAATGGCAGCTCGATTTTGGGACTGCCAACTTGTTTGTTAAGAACAAATACAAGCTATCGATTCTATTGATAGTATCGAACATCGATAACTCAATGTGCCGCATGCACTTTTGCATGCTAAACCAATTGTTGATACAAATTTAATTTGGCTTAGAATTAATCATCCACATGGTGACCAACAGCCAGGAGGGCGAGACGCTGCCCGCAACATCGTCGGTAACTGGGCTGCCACAGAAGCGCTTCTATCGCCAACGGGCACACTCAAATCCCATAGCGGATCACAGTTTTGATTAGTAAGTTTTTGAGCCATCCATTAAACTAGCTTTACTAAGTTTAACTACAATACAGTCCCGCCCGCCCAGAGGATGTGGACTGGCGCTCCCTGTATCCCAACATCGGCAGCGAGCAGCAAGTCGAATTTGCTGACATAGGCTGCGGCTACGGCGGCTTCCTAGTCACCCTGGGCGAAATGTTTCCCGATAAGTTGGCCATCGGCATGGAGATACGAGTCAAAGTGTCCGACTATGTAATCGATCGCATTGCGGCGCTCAGAATGAAAAATGCGGAAACAAGCGCATACCAGAACATTGCCTGCATACGCACCAATGCGATGAAATATTTGCCAAACTATTTCCAAAAGAGCCAACTCGAGAAAATGTTCTTTTTGTATCCCGATCCGCATTTCAAGCGCGCCAAACATAAGTGGCGCATCATCAACCAGGCATTGCTCTCCGAATACGCATACGTTCTCCGGAGCGGGGTAAGAATTCAACTGGAAATGGATATTCACAATTGTTTAATAATATCCATCTTCTGCCGCAGGGCCTGGTATATACGATGACGGATGTCGAGGATCTTCACAAGTGGATTGTCTCACACATGACACAGCATCCGTTGTATGAACGACTCAGTGACGAGGAAGCTGTAAGTATATCCCGCTTTAAACTCATTTACGAAGATCTATGTGAAATGTTTCCACTCCATTGAGTGAAAATTATGGTTCAAGGTAGTATATCGAATCAGCTCATTTGCGATTTTCTACCCTTGACTTATAAAATGACATCTAAAATACTATACTATATCTATATTGATCTAAAAGTGAAATGTATACCCATATCTTTGCAGAATGCCGATCCTATTACGCCCAAGCTATACCAGAGCAGTGAGGAGGGCGCCAAGGTGGTGCGCAATAAGGGTGATCACTTCTTGGCTATATTCCGCCGCATCTAGGCGCATTTATATATATTTGACAAATATATATTAATATATATTTTTTAACATAAATAATTTAAGTGTGTAACAGACTTGACCTTTTCTATCTTACACTCCCGCTATCTGTGTGTGCGTGGGAGTACGTTTATGTGTATACATATGTATATATATGTGTGTGTGTGTGTCAGTGCGTGTGCGTGTGTCCGTCCGCCCTTACATATATGCATTCCGCTGTCCGATGCCCTCACAGCTGATGAGCGTTTGGCCAAAATTGCCGTACTCAATGATGAACTTGACGCCAGCCATTTGCTCAGCCACATAAATGGCTGTTCGTGTGTGCTTGGTCAGTGCGCCGGCACGGATGCGCGAGCAACCGCTGGCCAGGGCCATATAAATGATTAGCTGATCCTGCATGTGGGTGTCCACACAGATCTCGTTCTTAATGTAGCCGGCCAGTTCACAGGAGGCATTCGAGCCAATCAAATGACCATCGATGTTCTTTTCGCCCACAGTGGCCGCACCCACCACGCAGCCGGAGCTGGTTAGCGCGGTCAGTATGATGCCGGCACCGTTATCGCGCGCCCTGTCCGGCGGATGCTTGAACACCTGTATATTGCACTCGTGATCCGGCCAGAGGCGATGTATTTCACGCTCCGCCGAATGCTGCATATCAAAGGCAATGCACTTTGGCAAACGGCCGGCATAGTAGGCGGCACCTTTGACTGATCGGAACTGGCCGAAGTCATTTAATTGAACGGCATTCAGTGAGCGCAGCGGCTCCAGGTCAAGCATACAACGGCCATTGCCGCGTGGATAGAAGCCATGATGCAGCACCTTGAGATCAAAACTAACGCCGAAACGCTTCAGATTCGGCTGCAGCACTTGCTGCATATATTCCACTTGCGGGGCAAACGATACGTTTGTGCCGCCAGTGACATCGATGCGTGACGAGGTGCCACTGAATAGCAGCACCGGCATAACCATCTGATATATAAGTGTTATGCTGGCGGCGGTTCGTGTGTCCACCTTGTACATGGTGCCGGCGATCGTTCGCGGCGTAAACGTCAGTTCCGTGGAGTGCAACGTATTGCCGTTGACCTCGGCATTCGAAATGTCGCGCAGCAAATTAACGCCATGCAGGTGCTGATGGGATAGACCCGGCTTTGGACGATTGGCACGTATCTTGACCACACGCACCGGACGATTTAGTATTACGCTCAGGGTTAAAGCATTGCGCAGTGCCTGTCCGCCGCCTTCCAAGTAGGAGCCGTCGATTTCCACAAAACAACTCATGCCCAGTTGCCTGCAAGGGTGCACATCAATTAAACCAATATGTACTAAAATTAATACACGCACTCGAGTACCTACCGATTTCAGCAAATTCTCAAATGTTTTTTTTATATATGTTAGCTATATTTATCAAGATTTCAATTTCAAATGCCACTTTGCTTACAATTAGTGATGGGCAGCACCAATTTACCGATTGGATTCGCACAGTTCTCGTACTTTTTGTTGTGCTACCATTGGCCAGTCTTTTTATGATTCAAGTTGGCAGCGCTGCAGTTGCCGTTGCATTCGCATGAGGAGTAAAAAAAACCCCCAAGCACAAAATCTGTTTTGCGCAGCAATAAAATATCCGTATTTATTTCTCTCGCTGCATAGCTGCTGGCATAATGTCGTATGTTTACCTATTGCCGGTTGCTGTCTTCTTCATCTTTCAAGTGACATTTCTGGGCACGTAAGTGGCTATTCTCTTTTCAATTTGGAAAAAAGTACCGTTTGTTATGGTTGTGCACCCGTTTTGCCCATTCGCAGTTATATTGTGGCTGTCCTGGAGGGTCATGTGGTGCCCACAGTGCCGTACATTAGCGATGCAGCCACTTACTCGCCGGAGAGCTGCATTTTCGGTCAACTAATTAATATTGGCAGCGTTCTTTGTGAGTTCGCTATCGCTGCATTTCCAAACTCGACTCATATCTCGATTGGGGAAGCATGAGTCATGTGCTGAGTGCCTCACACGGTCTGTTGTTGTATTGATCTTATTTTCATTTCCAGTGGGACTCACAATTTATGTGCGCTATCGTCATGTATTGCAACTGCATGAACATCATCCGGATCTGGGCGCCGCGGTGCTCCGGCACAATAGTATAGCCTTTTGGTTCGGCATGTTGTCCTGCCTGGGCATTAGCTTTGTTGGCAACTTTCAGGAAACCAATGTGCGCATTGTCCACTTTATTGGCGCGTTCTGTTGCTTCGGCTGCGGCACCTTATACTTTTGGATGCAGGCTTTAATCACATACTCGATATATCCCATGGCTGGCACGAAAAAGACTGCGCACATACGCCTGGGTATGTCCGTCTGTTGCACTATTCTGTTTATAATGCTAGCTGTGACCGGTGTCATGTCGCATATACTGTTTGACGGACAAGACCCACGGAAGTGGTAAGCCGTTGAAATAATCATGGCTTGGGCAGGACAATAACACTTAATTCCCATTGCAGGTATCCCTCGGATGGGGGCTGGTATTATCATGTTATAAGCACAATTTCCGAATGGATAATAGCGACCATCTTTAGCTTTTTTATACTAAGCTTTACGCCCGAGTTCCGGGATGTATCGCTGGATCATCCGCAAATCTCGCTGCTCTCATACACTATGACAGTGTAGATGTGATTGGTCTCCTATGTCGATATAGTCTCTCATTTGAAGAACTAAGAGTGGGTTCCAGTCGGAGCTGCGCCGTTAATCTTACGGCATGCTCTACCCAGGATATGCGAACTGGTGATGCTGTGGCCGCCAACAACTATAATCTATTGCCTAAGTACCAATATGTAGTGTAGGGTTAATTAAATATGAGCCAAAGCTGCTCATAATGGAAGCATAAATGCCGGTCGATTGTATTGCACAATACACATGTCATCATCCGATGGTCACTTGATCTATTCATTGCATGCGTTTTGACTGTCCAGCTAAAAGTAAACAAGTTTTAATAAATCTGCACTCGAGTTGAAATTAAAATTCAAACAGCACTTGGGGCAACCAAAATGAATTCGAATTGATATTTAAATTACATTTTGTTTCTTACATTTCCATACGATAATTAAACGAAGGTGCTAAACATGTCACGTTTTTGTAATGCGCATTGCTGTGATCTATTTTTACGGGCGAACTACTTAGTCGTACAATGCTTTTGTTCTACATTTGAATAGCTGAACATCCCTTTGGATTTCTAATAGTACACAGGGATTAACTATTATTTCGTAGGCACTTGAAATAGAGCTCGACTGCAGACAGAACCTGCCTCTGCTTCAAACACGCATTATATTGTGCACATTTACATATTGTTTATCAATTTCACTTTATTTTTACAATGACGTTCAAAATTATGTTTGGAATTTACAACTTAAAGCGCAAATGTGTGTTGCAATCAAAATAAATACAAAAAAAAAAAACAATATATGAAGAAAAAATCAAAAAGCATTTTCCGGTACAATTAGTATAGAGTTTTCATCAACGTTTGCGATCTCTAGCCCGATCGCTCTCGCGATGCTTGTGCCCACCTCGGCTATTATGACCACCACCACCACCACCGACGCTGCCTCCTCCTCCTCCGCCACCCCCACCACTGCCACGATGCGAGTAGCGATTGTGGGATTTGCCCGTATTGGAACTGGAGTTGCGGTACTTGTCGCTATCGCTGATGTTGTTGTTGCCCGTATTGCTGGAGCGTTCCTTTTTCACATAGTAATCGGAGCGCTCTCTCGACGATTTCCTGCGGAATAGCGTAATGGGTTAATATGCACAAGTTGCTACAGCTGAAGCAATGGGCGGCACACTTACCTCTTCCGGTGCTTGCTGTGCGGCGAACTGGAGCGCGTGGGCGAGCGCGAATAGTGACGCGATTTCTTTTTGTGTTTGGGCGCTGACCGCGAGCGAGATCTAGACGAGCGACTCCTGTCACGATCACGTTCTCGATCACGTTCGCGGTCACGGTCCCTATCTCGATCCCGATCCCGATCACGATCACGATGCGATTTTTTCGATCGCTCGCGACTTGGCGAATGACTGCGCGTACGTGAGCGTGGCGAACGTGATTGCGTGCGTGTCCGGGATCGTGAATGTGAACGGGAGTCCTTCTTTGGCGACTTCTCTGTGGGCAGCGGCATGGCACGCTGTATAAAGCCACCCCAGGCATTGTGAGAGCCATTATTGCGATCTACCGTGATGACAGCAGGCGGTGTATTTGCCTCCTTGGTCTTGTTGCGTGCATCGATATAACGCTTCTTCAGCTCCTCGACGGCCGCTTCGAGCTTCTCCACAACCGGCTTGGCGCGCGTATAAAGCTCCATCACGCGATAACAAATATCCGTGATATTGGCCATTGGCACACGAAATATACCAAACCACGGCGGATTATGCGGCAGCGGTATATTGAGCTTACGTGCGCTCAAATAAATGCAGGCACAGGCAATCGCCTCTGGCGTATAGCGCATGAAGACATCCGTGCGCAGCGAATCGTTCATAAAGTTCCACGACATTTGCATCAGTTTCTCGTGCTTCTCATACTGCAGCACCTGCAGATACATGACAATCAGCTTATGCGGATGCTTCACATGCACACAAAAGCCAAGTTCCTTGAGCACACGACGCTCCGCTTTGATAACCTGAGTCTTCATATTCGTATAGTACTGATCCAGCACCATGGGCGCTATTTCCCTGCGAAAAAATCAAACAAGGATGAATATTTAGAAGTTTCTTCTTGGGTTAGAAGAAGCCGCCGTAGGCAGCTCTCAATGTATTGATTGAAATGCTTACTTTTGTGCGCGCACTTGCTTGATATGATGGAAGACGTTGATGACATCGCGTATGCGACGCGGTGCCTCCTCTATTTTGGAGGCGAGGCACACACAGCTCATGGCGACCGTTTCCATATTGTGGCGCACAAAGCTCTTCGAGTAAAAGAAGCGCTGAAAAAGCACTTGGCCAGTGGCCATGGCCACTTGGGGCAAGCGCAGCAGTATGCCCGCCGTTTGTATTAGCTCACAGCCAAGTATGCGCAGATCCTTTTCCGTTTCATGATCGAGTCCGTCCTGACTGGACGGCGTCACATCAATTTTCTCCTCGGGTATGAGACTGTTCTCCAACGTTAGCACAATTTTGTTGAATAGACGCGGATACATTGGTTTGGCTGCTTCGCCATCCGGCCCGTTACCATCGTTTCCAGTGGCGCCTCCACCACCGGCAGCTCCGAGTCCGATGTGCGTGTTGTTTGAGATGTTCACGTTGTTTGAGTGCACGGAGCTAACGTTGAACACATTGGTGATTGTTTGCAATGCCGTTACCGTTGACGTTACAGAGGTATGAATAATGCCAGTCGTGGCGGTGATAACACTAGTTGCACCACGACTGGCCATTTGATTTGAAACTTATTTTTTTACCTGATAAAAAAAAAAAACTCTTGATACGTATGTTATGTGTATTAATTTGTGAATTGCCAACAGTGTGCACCCAAAACGTTTGCAAAAATTACTATTAAAAAATACTAAAATAAAGCTAGTACTCAACTTATCGATGCTGGTGTCCGAAAACTATCGAAAACCATTGGCGTGCAATGTGCACATCTCCAAACAGCATACAGTTCGAAGTAGATTCGGTACGAACGTGTTCGCGTGGCCGCTGCGCGCTGTAAAAGAAAGAGACTGTTCTAAGTGTAATATTGGGGACTTGGGAAAAAAAAATATCATTTTGTACCATCGCGCACTAAATGCAAAAGGCACAAGTAGCACTTGCAGTCGTGTGCAACGGCTTTTGAAAACTAAAATATATTAACTACAACATATAGAGGTGTAGAAAAGAATTTAAAAAAGTGAAGTTGGGAAAAAGCCGTGAGCGCCGCACTGCCAACTGAGAAATTGTGCAAAATGAGTGGGGATGTGGCTGCTGAAAATGTAAGTAATTTCGAGACGTATTTATTTTTATGTAATTTTCATCTGTTCAGTAAGTGCATTAACGAGCGGTGCGAATGTGTTGATAATTTTCACATGTAAAAAATGCATAAGTACTTGCAACCAATGCAAGTGTCGACCAACCTGCGCCTAAATCATGCGTAGTCGCATTGCAATAAAGAGTAAAAGGCCTTTTGGTAATTTACGAAAATGGCGACAATGCATGCAAGTAGTAGCAGGCAAAGGCAGGCGGTAGGAAATCGACGAGAGACGGCAACGACACAGCGACAATGTGTATTTGGCACAGTGTGACCGATTTTCGCTGCTCTAAATACTATTGTGGTATTTTGCGTGCATCAATAATTTTCTAAAGTGTGTTATATATTTTATTTTTACAATTGTTTCATGACTACGATGACTTATTTTGTGCATAAATACGGACTTTATCACACTGTCACACACACACACACATTTATATATATATATATATATATAAATATATATTTATACACTGTTCAACTGTAGAAAAATACATCAATGAAGGAAAAATATTTAATTTAAAGTAGATGCCGCTTTGGTTTTGAAAATAGGTTCGAACGAATACATTTTGTGAATTGTGTTATAGTATTTTGCGTATTTTTGACGTTTGTAGAAATTTGGTCACACTGCACAGGGTGCCAAAGTAATCACATGTGTACGTACGTTTGTACACACACATACATATGCACACACAAATAAAAAAATAAAAAAGAAAAGAGCCTTGATCTGCTGTTGTTACACCGCTCACGTTAAAAGTTACGGTGGGCAGAAAGTATGAACACAAACGTCGGAAAAATCAACAGTGCTGCAAGTGGCGCCCTCCCCTCCCCTCCCAGCCCCTTGTATCCTGTTAACTGTCGCCGCCATGTGTTCTTCTTGACTTAAATATTTTCTCATGCACGGAAACACAATACATTTGAATTTGTTAGGGTTGATTTTTCACCACGTGGTGGTGTGGTGTGGTGTGTCTACATCCACTTACATATTAACACACATACACATAGCTACATAAAGAGCTGTGAGTTTTGTAAATCATTGACAATTGACTTGCAGAGTTGCTACTTAAATGTGTCACACACAAACAAACAAACAGACAGACAGACACAGACAGAGACACATGCACATGCACACAATGCTTTCCATCGCACAGGTAGTCAATGCTTCATTTCGTTTTCAGTTATAGCAAGTATTACATTCACACATACACAAAAATTACATACATAAATATAAGTCGAAGAATTGTAGAGCTCTAAATATTTCCATACGTGTGCTACATATATATGTATATATAACAAAGTATTGACGACTTCGAAATTGTCCGTAAATAGCTGCGATGGATTCTATACTAGTAGTCTGTATTTCAAATTGAATCTCACATTTTTCCATCTTAATTGTTATTTTCTTCTTTTTTTTCGCTTATGATTTGCGTTGCAGAATGTACACGTGCAAAATGGCGGCAGCTGCGAAGTGCAATCGAATGGTGTAACCACAAACGGACACCATCACCATCATCATCATAGCAGCAGCAGCAACAGCAACAGTGGAGGCAACAGCAGCAGTAAACACAAATCATCCAGCAAGGATAAGCATCGTGATAAGGAACGCAGCGAGCACAAGAGCTCTAGCTCATCAAGGGAACATAAAAGCAGCAGTAGCAGCAGCCGGTAGGTGTTCCGAATCACATTATTATATTATACCATATCACATACCCTTTGTATGCCCCTGGGCTAATGCAAATAATTAAACACTTTTTGCAGCGATAAGGATAAGCATAAAAGTAGTAGTAGCAGCTCATCGAGTGGCAAGGACAAGCATCGGGATAAGGAGCGCGACAGCAGTAACTCACATCGCAGCTCATCGTCGTCGTCTTCCAGTCATCGCGATAAGGACGGCAAGCACAAGTCTTCGTCTAGCCATCATCATCATAAGAGCGGCAGCAGCAGCTCATCCTCTAAAGACAGAGATCGTCGCGACAAAGATCGCAGCAGTAGCAGCAGTTCTTCCAGTCGGGATAAGCACAAGTCTTCATCGTCGTCGTCGTCGTCGAGCTCACGCCACAAGGGGTCATCGTCTTCATCATCATCGAAAAGCAAACATTCCAGTTCAAGTTCTCGACATGGCTCATCCACGAAAGATCCCTCCTATGATGGTGTATTCGTTAAGCCAGAGCCCGTCTCACAACCACACACGAATGACCATGATGATCCCCTACTGCAGTTGCAACAGCTGCAGCAACTCCAGCAGCAGCAGCATCTCCAGCAACAGCAGCAGCTCCAGCAACAGCAGCAACTGCAGCAACAGCAGCAACTGCAGCAACAGCAACAACAGCAGCAACTGCAGCAACAGCAGCAGCTGCAATTGCAACAGCAACATCTGCAGCAGCTCCAACAGCAATCTGAGTGCAATGGCTATAAGAATGGCTACGAGGAGCACATTGTGGATGTTAAAAAGGAAGAGGATAACTTTGACTTGTCGCAGGCCAGCTCCTGTGACTACTCCATGTCGCAGTTTAGAGCCGATGAGCCATCGTTTGTGGCCAAACAGGAGGCAACCTATACGGAGGATGATAGCGCCTTAAACGATGATGATGATGATGACGATAATGATAATGATAATAACGATGATGACGAGGATATGCCGTTGGCAATGCGTAAGCGTAAACAAGAACCCTCCGATGAAATGGACGGCGCTGAAGATGACGATGATGACATTCCGTTGCTTGCGCGTAAGAAGATCAAAAAAGAAACAAAGGACAAGAAAAACAAAAAGAAACGACCAAAGGAGGAGCTCGATGACGAATACGGCAGCGCCAAACCCAAAAAGAAAAAGGTCAAAAAGGTAAAATACAAATAAGACAAGCAATGTTGTGTCCAACAATGCAATTAATTAGGGTTTTCTAATAAAATGTTTAAAATGTTGCCTTTTGCAGGAGAATGAGATCAAAGCGGAGCCTGTTTCCCCAACCAAGCGTTCGCGCAAGGACAAAAAGGATGAAGAAGAGGAAGTGTGGAGATGGTAAATAACTTGTTAACTTTCACAAATTTAAAACTAAAACCGAAAATCAACATTGAATATTAATTAATGACAGGGCTTTTTTTATATTGAATTTTTCATTTCAAAGATTGCATTGTAATTTTAATTACACCTCAGTTCACATCAAATGTTCTGCATTTTATAATGGAACACTTTACTTCAGTAAAAATCTCCAAAATATTAAAAAAAAAAAAATTGAATGTTGATTTTCGATTTGATTTGCTATAAACAGAAAGTGCTAACGCATCGTATTAAGCAAAATGTATGCAAAAAAACAAAAGGTGTTTGCTAAATGGTTTTAATAACATGCAAGTGTGTGTGCGTGGGTGCATGTGTGCGTTTCCATTTGTATCTGATGTTGAGTTGACGTGTGCATGCGTGTGTGTGTGTGTGTGCGCGCGTGTGTGCGTATGTGTTAAGTTTGAATGTCACTGACCTATATATTTTGAAAGTCACATTTGGCAGTGACAAGACGGCTGCGTTGAGTGTGTAAACTTTTTGACCATTCACCACGGTACGCGTGCAACAGCTGTGCAAACGAAAAAAAAAACACGCACACACACACACACACAAGTTTTGAGGTTATGTTGTGACTCGTTGTTTTTTCACGTTTGATTGCGTTATGTGAGCACAGTTGTTGGCACAGCAAATGGCAACTGTGCTGTCGCTGTCGCTGCTGCTCATTGCAAAACGTGAACTTAACGTTATATTTAAGCAGCAACGAGGAGCAACAGCTGCTGCCAGTATAAAAAAGAAAATCAACAGCAGCGACAATTGCAACAAGACTAAATCGAAACGTACTTGTGCTCTTTTAAGGTGGGAGGAGGAGAAGCGCGAGGATGGTGTCAAATGGACAACGCTTGAGCATAAAGGCCCCGTATTCGCGCCGCCCTATGAGCGCGTGCCCCGCAACGTACGCTTTTATTATGATGGCAAGCCGCTGGAGCTCAGCGAGGAGACCGAGGAGGCGGCAACATTCTATGCAAAGATGTTGAATCACGACTATTGCACCAAGGATGTATTCAATAATAATTTCTTTAAGGATTTCCGCAAGTCTATGACCCCCAAGGAGAAGGAAATTATTAAAGATTTTCGCAAATGCAATTTCCAAGAAATGCATCAATTCTTTCTGGCTGAATCTGAAAAACGCAAAGCAGCCACCAAAGAGGAGAAGCTCGCCAAGAAGAATGAAAACGAAGCGTTAATCAAGGAGTACGGTTTCTGTATGATCGATGGTCACAAAGAGAAGATTGGTAACTTTCGGCTGGAGCCGCCGGGTCTGTTTCGCGGCCGCGGCGAGCATCCAAAAATGGGCATGATCAAGCGTCGCATTGCGGCCGCCGATGTGTCCATTAATTGTGGTAAGCAATCGAAGGTGCCACAGCCACCGCCTGGTGAGCGCTGGAAGGAGGTGCGTCACGACAATACCGTCACTTGGCTGGCTTCCTGGACAGAAAATGTACAGGGTCAGGTGAAATACATTATGCTGAATCCATCGTCTAAGCTAAAGGGCGAAAAGGATCATATTAAATACGAGACAGCCCGCAGGCTAGATAAGTTTATTGACAAAATACGCGCCACATACCGCGACGAATGGAAGTCCAAGGAGATGCGTGTGCGGCAGCGTGCCGTAGCTCTCTACTTTATTGATAAGCTCGCACTGAGAGCGGGCAATGAAAAGGACGAGGATCAAGCCGACACCGTCGGCTGCTGTTCGTTGCGTGTTGAGCATGTGCAGCTGCACAAGGAGCTCAACGGCAAAGAGAATGTTGTCGTATTTGATTTCCCTGGTAAGGATTCCATACGCTATTACAACGAGGTCGAGGTTGAGAAGCGTGTCTTCAAAAATCTGGAACTGTTTATGGAAAACAAAAAGGATGGCGATGATCTCTTCGATCGCCTCAATACCCAAGTGCTAAATGAGCATCTCAAAGAGTTGATGGATGGTATGCAACTAACTACATTACCTGTTGTTCCATCTCCTATTATATTCTCATCCCATTCGCAGGACTCACGGCTAAAGTATTTCGCACATATAACGCATCGAAAACGCTGCAAAACCAATTGGATCTGCTTACCGATAGCAACGCATCGGTTGCCGAGAAGCTGCTGGCCTATAATCGCGCCAATCGTGCAGTCGCCATTCTCTGTAACCATCAGCGTTCGGTGCCCAAAGGCCATCAGAAGTCGATGGAGAATCTAAAGGAGAAGATACGCGCCAAGCGCGATGCCATTGATGACTGCGAGGCCGAATATCATGTAAGTGTCTTGGGTCGTCTCGACTTGGATCGTCTCTAAATATCTTCAATTCGAATCTAACACAGGATCTAAAGAAGGCGGCCAAGCGTGGTTCTGTGAAGGAAAGGGTTATTGCTGATAAGAAGGGCAAAATACTGGAACGTTTAAAGGATCAACTGAAAAAATTAGAACTACAAGAGACTGATAGAGACGAGAATAAGACCATTGCCCTGGGCACATCCAAACTAAATTATCTCGATCCACGCATCACGGTTGCCTGGTAAACTGAACATATCAATATTTTTCCATATAAGTGAAAGCTAATGTCTCTCTTTCTCTCTCTCTCTCTCTTTGTTGTGCAGGTGTAAAAAGTACGGCGTGCCGATTGAGAAGATCTTTAATAAAACGCATAGAACCAAATTTCTCTGGGCCATTCACATGGCCGATGAGAATTATCGTTTTTAAACAATTGTTTTTTAACACAACCAAGAAAATATATACACACACACTCACACGCACACCGCGCGGGAGGAGGCAGCAGTTAAAGCGGTGAAGACCAACTCAATCAAATACACACACGCAAAAACACACACCCCACCAACAACAACACAACATCATCAGTACCAACACAAACAAACTCAACCAGATACACAGACACACACATACACACGGCGAGCAATCAGTGCAGCCAAAAGGCGCCACCCCGTCGTCGGAATGATGCATCAAGTAACATCTTCTTCGGATCGGCAAACCTCTAACGGTTTATGCAAAACTATTATGCATATATACACACACACAACCACACACACAAATTGAAGGAACACAGAGCGAATGAGAGGGAATGATATATATATATATATGTGAATTACTGGTAGCTTTTGTTTTGGTTGCACACAATATATAATTATATATATATTATATGATTTTAATAATTGAAGTGTTGCGCACTACGCTGAAGTTTAACTTAGCAGCAATGTAGTGGCGGGCGCTTGCAAACTGTACCCAACTCAACTCAACACAACACACCACAACTCAACACACCACAACTCAACACACCACACCACACAGACACACAGAAAATAAAAGTAAACAAATAAAGAAAACACACATAAACCGCGCACACAGACGCCCGTACATAGACTTATGTATGAAGAGTGTGTGTGTGTGTGTGCGTGTTTTTTTTTTTTTTTTTTTTTTTGTGTAAGTGCGTGTGTAAGCGCCGCCGGAGAACATAATTTTTGTATGTTATATACCTATATCTTATGAAATCAATTATTTTGATAGGTTATTATTAAAATTATTATTATTTTTATTACTATAAAATAATTTTTATTATTATTATTATTTTTTTTTTTGTAAAATTTACTGTATGAAAAGAATACATTTTATGTTTATACTTATAGTTGATCTTCGTTTAGCAAAAAGTTTATACCTACAATTTATAATAAAATTTATAAAAACATACATATTAAGTGCTAAGTGAAGAGAAACCTTGTAGCCCACTTTTAGCATAGCATAATTTATTCGATTAGAGCAGCGAAGCGAAAACAGTTAAAAGAGGAACACAACAAAAAATACGAACGAAGAGAGAGAGAGAGAAATCAAGTTTATATATACTATGTAATTACGTTGTAATTGTGCACAACATCATGCCCTACATCCATAAATTAAATGTATACCCTATATACATATATATATATATATATATATATATATATATATATATATATATATATATATATATATTTTAAAACTCTTTGTTTTTTTTGTTGTTCTTTAAGTTAAGAAGGCCGCGTGTTTTCACTTTGTTTAAGCAAATTATCTAAAATTTTGTTCCCCTTTGCTTTTGTACAGAAAATGTTGAATACTATTTTTTTCGTTTTTTTTTTTTTTTTAATTTTTATTTATCACAAATAAACAGACCGGAAGCACTTTCACACATAGCCAGGTTTCAAATTATGTTCTATTAAAAAAAAAGAAAGAAAAAGGAAACGATCAAAATCAAAAGATGAAAGAAAACGAGAACAACGCAACAAAGAGCATATAACAAGAAAGCATTACATGATGAATTTAAAGAAAAAAAAGCAAAAAAAACATCATGCAACTAAGTTTAAAGCGAAAACCCCTTTATAAATAGGATTTATACGAATATAGTACGTGCAATTAAGTGAACTAAAATCCGTTTGATCAATAACTATAAATTGTAAAAAACAAAAAAAGAAAAAAAAACCAATGCAAAAATTAAATCTACATAAATGTAGAGCCTTGATGATAATGATAAAAGTCTTGGCACCACAATGTATGTATGTATGTAGTTGTATTTGTATTTTAATGACGCGCGCATTGTGGCCAAGCGTACATTGATGACGGCATGTTCGTGCGTTGGCTGGGCAGGGTGTGGGGTAAGGGGTGGGCTGGGTGCATAGAAATGCATGCAAGTATTGGTATGCACATGTGTGTGCGTGGGGCAATTAATTATTCTGATTATTATATGCATGCACTGCGCATACGAATAGAATACGAATAACTGAAATAATATACAATAAAATGAAATCAATCAATGTAACATACCCATACATAGGTATGCGCATGGATGTGCGTGCACGTGTAATCGTATAATATATAAACATTAATTTTGTCGAATTTTAACGAATCTGACGCTTTTAAAAGTAGCTAAAATTGGACTTGTCCTGTCGTGTGTGTGTGTGTCTGTGTGCGTGCGTGGTGTGTGCACACTGGCGCTGGCAACCGAATGGCTGCATCACTCACGCACACATACACACATTTATATATATATATATATTTTCAAACACACACACACACACACTCACTCACGTATAAACTTGGCATATTACAATATGATATAAGCAATGAAAAAACAGAAATTGTAAGTTTAATTTAGTTGTAATGGAATGATGCAAATATACATACAACATATATTCATACATACACACACATATACATATATACATACTTTGCGTATATATATATATGTATGTGTGTGTGTATATGCATATAAAAATACATTTAAAATCTGAACAATGCATTTGATTTTTCGGTGGCAACATTGGCTGATCAGCTGATATGGAAGATATATACATATATCCAGATACATATAAGAGGCTGATCATGCTCGTAAGGAATGCGTCGCAGCATCCTTTCTGTCAGTTGCCTATTGGGAGGGAATTCCTTCTCGGGATCAGGATTGCAAATCGGTTCGAAATCCAGATTTCAACTATGAACTATGCAAAAATGATTTGGCCTTAAGGCATGGATAACCTGAGTCCCATCAATTGGATTTATCTAAACCACATTTGGTAGATGCCAATTTTGGGTGTAAAAATCAAATCTAGCCCTCGATTTCCATATGAAAATATTAACGTTTAGCAATATTTTCAGTAGAACAGGCAAACGCATAATAGGCCTATCCAGAGGCGGGCCCGATTCCCACAATCCTTTTCCCACACATAAATATATATGCTTTGGATTTTCGGAATAGATACTCCGCGCATGGCAATACTTACCCAAGAATCTGATAGAATTAGGAATTTGGGCGAAACAACAAATAATTAAATCGTGCATATATAGTATAATATAGGTATGTTATTGTATATATATATATATATTTCATATTATATCGTTTATCATACAAAATTTCCGTTTCTGTTTAATCGATTTTTTCCCCCGACTAAGTTGAGAAAATTTAGTTGCATTTTTTATGATTCAATAAAAAAAAAAAAAATAATATTATTTATATAAAGATAAAAATGTGCGACGGCAAAAAAAAAAATGTAATAAAATTATGTAATAATAAGAATAAATATGTAACAAAAAATGACAATGACAATGACATATACATACATATATATATATATGTATATATGTATATATATGCAATTGTAGGTTATGTAGCTATAGCTTAAAAATCGGATATTGCAATTGCGCTTCGTATCAAAATTTTGCATGTTTCTTGGTTTTTTTTTTCTTGTTAGTTTTTTTTTTTTATTTTTTATTATTGTTATTGCGCTTAAAACTAGGTTTTGCATATAATAAAATTGCGTGAATGTGTGTCAGTGTCAGTGTGTGTGTGTGTGTGTGTGTGTCAGTGTGTGTGTATGGGCGTGTGTGTGTGTGTGTTTTGTTATTGTTCATATATCAATATGTATAAATATATAAATAAATTTATAGGAATATGTGTTGGTTTTGAAGCAACATTTTTTTTGTTGTTTTTTTTTTTTTGTTGTTTTTTGTTTTGTTTATTAAATTTTTGTTTTTTTTTTTTGCTGTTTTTAAGTTAAGCGGCCCTTTTTAAAAGCATTACAAATCGAATAAATATATGTACGTATGCGTGTACGTATGTGTGTATATATGTATATGATGTGTATGTATGTATATATATATTTATATATATATATATATAATTTTTATCGTTTTTTTGCATGTTTTCATTTGTAATTCATTTATAATTATTATATTATTTAATATATATTTTGCTTTTGTTGCTGATATTGGAAAACGGAAGGATTCGCGACAAATTGTTTCACTTCCTGCGCTAGATTTGTTTCTTTCTTGTTCTTGTAAAAACGTATAAAAAGCTAAATAGGTTGTTTTAAAAAAATTCCCTCTCTCTATATATGTATATATATATGCTGATATATATAATCATTGCATATATATATATATATATATGTATGTGCATGAACATGCATTTATCCTTGATGTTCGCCATTAAATTGCATTTAGGATACATTTTTGTGCGACTTTTTTTTTTTGTTGCGTTCGAAATTGTTTTTTTCTTTTTTTGATTTTGTTTTTGTTTTTGGACATAGTCGACACGTTGCTAAAACTTTAAAAATTGATACGTGTGGTTGTAGTTGTTATTGTTGTTGTTGTTGTTGTTGTTGTTGTTGTTGTAATTATTGTTGCAATTGCCAAACACGTGCCGCATCCTTGGAAGCGCTGCAACTTAGAATTCCCATTGTGTGGCCGAATCGGTGCCATCATCCAGCAATTTGAAGGCCCCATTTTTGGTGGCGCCCAAATATTTGCCCTGTTGCGATCTGCGACGAAAGTGAAAGCAGTGTATTTCGTTAATAAAAGGGTTTAAACTTGAACTTTCTTTTAACGGCCAAATCAAATATTCAAAAATGCAATAGCTTAACAGCTGTTAATAGCTTAACATTCACAGAGCAGCAAATAGCAGCAGTTGTTTTTTAACAGCACGCTGCTATGCCAATTGGCATTGAGTTATAACAGCAATGTTAACGTTAACAGTACAACTGTAGAGTTCGACTGTTATGCGGCGAACAATGTTATATGTTACGGCTGTTATGCATATTGGCAATAACATGCTGTTAATAGTGTTTTGAATAATAACAGCACACTGTTAATGCTTAACTATAAGCGTTATTTTCAAATCTGGTTTTCTTTGGCTTGCCGTTAAAAAATGGAACTTTCTCTCTCTCTCTCTGTCTCTGTCTCTCTTACCTTATGCAAATTCGTGTTGGTTCGCGCAACTCCAGGAAGAAGCCATCGGCTGGCGCATCGGCATCCACCGAAATGCTCTCGCCCTCGACGCGCCAATATTTACCGCTGTGCGCCTTCAGATGGACCATGCCCTTTTGGGCACGCTCAACCAGAATGGTCTCATAGGTGGCCTTGTTGCACTCCAGCTTGAGATTGCCGGGCGTACGATAGCCGACAAAGCCCTGCTCGCACTTCAGCACCAAAATGGGCCTAAAACGGATGGGAGCAACGGGAAGATGACATTTGACGTGAAGCACAGATGGAAGAGGCGCTCGCTTACCGATTGATCAAATAAAAATAGAACTTGGTTATCTCCTCAATGGACTCGGAGGTGGCAAACAAATGGCCGGAACGTTTGGTGGCCAAAAATTTGCCATTATTGGCGCGAAACGAGAGCGAACCATCACCATGCCAGATCAGTTCGAAGAGTGCATCGGCACAGCGACGATTGCCGGTGGCCTGAATGCCACCGCCGGCGGACAGGCACCAGTAGCGATCCTGTGTGGTGCGCAATGCCCAGCGGTGCGCCGACCAATCGTATTCCAGCTGAAAGGTCTCATTCTCGCCGACCTCATCCTGATTGGCGGTCACATCGACGCCCTGCTTGACGCTCACATAGCGCAAATTGAGGCCAGCTATGAACGAGGCCTGCGGCAATGAATCCTCCAGCGAGAACAGCTCGTCCCGTGTCACCGTCGAGGAGCGCGACTTGAGCACCGCCTT